AATATAATGTTTTATTTTATCCCCCGCCGAAAATTTTCGGCGGAGGATATAGAAAAAGTCTCCGTCCGTCCGTCCGTCCGACCTTCCGTCCTTCCGTCCGTCCGTCCTTCCGTCCGAAATTTTGTCCGGAGCATATCTCTAAAGAGTATTTGAGTTATCAACTTGAAACTTCATAGGTGGATAGACCTCATTGAGGAGGAGTGCAGTGCACAAGAATGATAACTTTACCTTGCATGATTTTTGAGTTATTGCCCTTTGTTATTTTTCAATATTGATTTTTGTCCAGAGCATAACTCCAAAAGCCTATGAGATATTAATATGAAACTTCATGGGTGCATAGATCTCACTCAGGAGGTGTGCAGTGCACAATAATGATAACTCTTCCTTTCATAATTTTTGAGTTATTGCCCTTTTTTATTTTTCATATCTAATTTTTCACCTGAGTGGAGCATAACTCAAAAAGTGTTTGAGATATCAACATGAAATGTCATAGAAGGATAGATCTTATTGAGGAGGAATGTTGTGCGCAAGAATGATAACTCTTCCCTATACAATTTTTGAGTTATTGCCCTTTGTTGTTTTTTTCATGCTATTTTGTCCAGAGCTTATCTGAAAAAGTATTTGAGGTATCATCTTGAAAATTCATAGGTGGATGGATCTCATTGAGGAGGAATGCAGTGCTAAAGAATGATAACTCTGCCCTGCATTATTTTGAGTTATTGCCCTTTTTGTTATTTTTCAAAATTAATTTTTTGTCCAGAGCATAACTCAAAAAGCCTTTGAGATATCAAAATGAAACTTCACAGGTGCATAGATCTCACTCAGGAGGTGTGCACTGCACAAGAATGATAACTGTACCTTTTATAATTTTTGAGTTATTGCCCTTTGTTATTTTTCATACTTAATTTTTCAATTCAATTTTTTTCTCAAAAAGTATTTGAGGTATCAACTTGAAACTTCATAGGTGGATAGATTTTACTGAGGAGGGATGCAGCACACAAGGATGATAACCTACCCTGCATTATTTTTCAGTTATTGCCCTTTGTTATTTTCAGCCATCAGTATTCACATAGGTTTCAAATCTGTAATCACTATAGCCATCAGTTTTCATTACCAAAAGACCTCTTAAAATGGAATTATTCTGCTCTACTACATATACATTCTTCCAATGAGCAAACACATTCGGCGGGGGATGGCCATGTTGACATGGCTCTTGTTGTCATGGCTTTGATTTAGCATGCATAGTTATATGTTAATCAGTTATGTGTATATACCAATGCTGTCATGTAAATCCATACAATAATGTTGAAAAGCAAACAAATGTCAGCCTTGTGTTTGAGGATTACCACTCCTCATCTGTAATGATATATAAGTTTCGAGTTTTTTATGACCATGTTATTGAAGTTTTTATTTGTTCCAATATAATAAGAACGAAAATATTTCAGATTCAAACTCATGTGGGACTCTTATATCAGAACAAGAAAATGTGTTGGAATGTCAGACTGCACGTTTAAAATTCACACCGAACAATGTAAATGCAAAGCGCGTGTGGTTCAAAGAAGACAAGAGGTTAATTGAGCTTTTAAACAGCAAGAACAAACGTGATGGAACTAAATACCATGAATCAAGAAATGGCGGCACTTTCATTCTATCTATTTCGGATGTAGGATTAGCGGACAATGGCTCATATATTGTGCAGTGCGAAGATACCTATTATAGCAACCGCTCAATTTTAATCATAACTTCAAAATTTAAAACGGGAGGTATTTAATATGAAAAACAAGATCAACAAGGAAAGGCGGCGTTCAATGAACGCAACCCCCATATGACCCAGCAACAAGAACCAATGGCAAGGAGCCCAGGCGGACCCCAAACATAAAAAAGGACAGGGCAACGACACGTTAATCAATAAATGATAAAATATATTTGTAACTGAATTAGGAATTCAAAGAAAATAATAATAGGCCCCACAAAGGGGAAGGGACAGGAGACCGGGGAAGGGGGGGGGTTAATCAAAGAAATAAAAACTAGAGGCAATGGGGAAGATACTTACCGTAGACGAGAAAACAACAAGGGACACAAGCAAAAGTGTCACCAAAACAGCATGAAACAACATAGACATACATCTGAGGAACACAGTGGAGCACTTTTTCTTTATTTCTGTGTATATTTGACATTATTTTTCAAGTTCATATACAGATGATGCTGCGATATTGAATCATTCAGAATGTTTCTCTGAACAATTGATAGAATGTGTGGTTAAAACAAGTAAATCTAATTTATTATGGTCCCCATATATCAGGTTTCGAGTCAACATTGTTGGAGACGTTTGATTCAATATCAAATGCAATTCTAGACCAAAAAAATTCTCAAACTTTCTAAAATCAACATTTTAACCATAATTTGTCCAGATAAGAAATTCGTTAAATTATATACGTGTTCATAGGAGACGGATGACTTCCAAATTGTAACAATATATATTCTGTAAAATTACTGGTGCATATAACAGTTAAACCTGTTTTGTTACAAAAGTAAATTAATGCTTCTTTTTGCTACATAAGGGTTATGAACGGGCTTAGATACAGACACAGTAAGACAATAGGACATATGTATTAAGCATTAGTAGGTAACGAAACACTTTTTAAGCTAAGAAAAATTAAAGAATAAAACTTTATTATATTTTACATATTTACAGGACAATTATTATATTTCTGTAATTTAGATACTTATAAAGGGTAATTAATCCTTAATCTACGGCTATAATTGACAAGCTCTTACTATCAGTACATAGCTAAAAAATTCTGGAAACAAAGTGATCCCTCGGAAGCATCAATCACAACAAAATAACATAAGAATTGCAGACTCGGTTTGATTGAGTCTGTACATGAGGGATAATGTAAATAAGCCAGTCGAGGCCTTCAAGCAAAAATATAACAGGTAAAAACTGCTGGTATTCTAGTCTTGAACCTCCTAACAAATTGCCTTGGCCTGCTAGATCTCATTACATAAAGAGAGCAGATTTAGTTTTAGCTAGTTACCTAATCAACATGTGCAGGAACTCTTCAAACTTAACAGCCTGTAACTGTTGCAGGTGTTAGAAAAAATATCAGCAACCACATGAATCATCAAGTTTTAAATTTTAAGCAATGTGTGTCTTATTAAATGCTAACATGTTTAAACGTTTAAAATCCTATTGCTTTTCATATATGAAACTGGTGTTATATTCCCCATATTGAAGGTATAGAGATTAAAAGAAAGAACACTGTATTAAATAGACATACCTGTACATTAAACAAAAAATTCAACAAATTCTTAAGTTATTAGATTTGTGTCCGACATTTATACAGTATGCAATGTTATTGGCTAAGAACACGAGTTGAAAACATATGATTTAATCTATTTCTTAACAACAAGCATTCAATCAAAATTTTGACAGTTAACATTATGTTAAGAGTTTTTCGTAAATAATGCTTTAAAATCGCTTCAGTTTGCAACGACAAATGTGGCGAACTTTCGGTTAACACACTCACTACCACAGAAGGAGATCCAGTAATTTTTCAAATTACTAATTCACCTATTAAAGATGTCACCTGGCAGAAGAAACTTGGTTCGATCTTTAAAAACTTAGAAGGTGAAAAGTATCAAGTGACATTTGATAATAAAACGACTCACAGCCTTTCGATTTTAGAAACAGAATATGAAGATACAGGCGAATACAGAGTTAATTGTGGCTCGACGGTGTCGAATACAGTCTATCTCAATATTGGTAATATTGTTATACATTTTGTACTCTAAATATTGTAATAGTTATATAAACATGGATCAGTGACTGAAAATGAGTATTCAAGCATACATTTAATATGATAATTCTTAAGATGTAAATATAATATTCATTTTCACATGAAAATTATAATTGTAAGAATATCTGACACTGCTTGTACCTTATTTGTTTGTGTTTTGATGCTGTTTGCTAAAAGGAACACACGTATCCAATATTTACTTTAATTAAAGTATTCTGTTTAATGTATTTTATCTAATATTTAATACACATGTAGAACGCCCATTCTCAATAAAATAAAGCATTTGAGGTTGAAAAATATTAAAAATTTGATGTTGTCATTGTGTCATTTTTTATCGCTGAAGTAAAAGTTTAGGGTATTTTGCAAGTTTGCCAGAAATATTTTGAACAAGAAACTGTGATATAACCGGATGGCATTTATTTCGGTAATGACACTGTATTTCTTCGGTAACGTAGATTTCAGATCTAATAATGTAACATATTGGCTGCATATTAATAACAAATGTCTGTAAAATATATCCAAATCTGTAAATTCTCTATCTAGAGGGACTTTCTAAACCAGGAAAATTCAAAGAAGTTGGGTACCTTGCTAATTTTCAGTCAATTTCTTCAAAGTTAAATATTCGTAGAAAGCAAAATAGTCAATTTTGGAAAATGATTATTTTATGTCTTCATTCAAAGGATATATATCATATATAATATATGAGAGGTCGAATGCATACACACATTTTGTATTAGCATTTTTTTTCAAAACATTCAAACTTTCCACTTTCTAATATTTGGAAAATTTAGTACTAAGCAGTTCGATATTTATCCCCCCATATAGGATGTCACGTATGTTTCATTTTATTCAATGCAAGTAAAGGTTGAGAAAGCAATTTTATTTTTTGTTAAATAATTTATATTTATGGATATTATTTTAACATTATTATATATAGAATGAAATACGGCCAGTAAGCTCTTTGCAGAAACGAATTAGTTGTTGCTGAGAACATCAATATCTTGTAATATATTTTTCAAACATTTCTGCTGGTACATCAACATATTATTAACATATCTTTCCTTTGTAAAAACAATTTTGTGTCTTCTTACATCTAATACAAGGTAACCGTTACTAACAGGCATGCTAATCCCAAACTTTATCTTTAATTTTCAAAAATTGTTGAATTGTAAGTTGGAGTAACGTATGTTTCACACTCGCTTATTTATTAACTTTATCACGGAATTTAAACTTACATGTAAAATCGACTTTTTTTATTTAGGAATCAAATGCACATCATTCTATTGTCATAAAAATGCGATTTTTATGTTTTTTATATATGCATGTGTAAACAATATAAAGTCTGTTTGATAAAAGTAACGTTTGTTTCACTGTGGTTACTTAAACAAGTAAAAACTCGACCAAAGTTAACAAAATTTACTTACTAATGTCAAATAGAAGTTAATGTTGCTGTTATACGTGCTTTCTGACTTCAATTTTCCTTTTGATAAACTTACTTTAAAAAGTTGATAACGTATGTTTCTGTAACGTATGTTTCATTTTTACATTGAAAGTGGGTTAAAAAATGACGCAAGACCGTTTAAGCCCGCCATAATTTGTGGTTAATATATCAGAGTTACACACATGTTAATTTTCTTTCTTGTTTGGAATCTTCTTTGAATGGATTGGCTCTTAAATAATGGTAACGTATGTTTCTTTTTTAAAGTGCTGTTGAAAAGATTTGAATAAAAAATGAAAAATTTCCGAAAAATAGAATGATATTTGAGAGGCTGCAAGCTTATTTTTACATATAATTATATCATATATGCTGTATTATTAAGCATGCATCGATTCAATTATGTAATTTGGGTTTCACTTCTTATTGTTTTAGGTTTGTCACTATTTATTTTTATGCATTTGGCGACATTTGATCATCCATTATACCAATGAGATTTTTAACAGTCAAATATAATTTTTTACCAATAATCAAAGTTCATATACACACAGCAATGACTAATTGCACCTGTTTCGTTTATTCTGGAACTTATTTTTTCTGAAACACAATTTCAAAGTTGAAAATTTCTAGGTGGCGACAGTAACGTATGTTACATTTTAGGGCATTAATGGTACTTGTAAAAGAAAAATAACAGATAGAAATGTTAAAATTGAGAGTGTCCCTATTAGACAAAGTGGCAGCCACCTTTCTAACGACATTTTGACCTCAAGAAAAACCTTCGTATAAGAGCTACCCAGTGGAACATCAAATGCTGTGTTTTATTGAGAATGAGCGAGAAGTCTAATACGTTTAATCATTTGAAAACTATTCTGTAAGGGAAGTCTTAAAATTGTCTTTTGACGTCTTATCTGTGATACGCAGGCTTCATAACCTCTGATCCCCTTTCAAAATTCCATTTTATTTAGTTCCGCCCATTGTTTTCTCGTTTAGGGCACACGCTTTTTATTACTTGGGGACCATACGCCGCTTTTCATGGAATGGCACGGAAGTGTCACATTGAAGGTTTCATGATAACCGCCGTATGACCACATCTGCGGATGTTTCTAAATTCAAAATTTTACTATTTCACGTTTAAATGTTTAATTCTGCTTAAGCCGGTGCTAGGGGGCGTGGACGGTAACTTGCACTTTCCAGTACCGTCCATGAACAGGCTCAATCAAACCGAGCCTGCAACATTTTCAATTTTGCCGTGTTGGGCTTTCTTTAGGGATTCTGTATTTATCTATTTTAATATCATATTCAACCTTTGTGAAAAATCCCAAAACCGTGCTCAAGCCCAAATAATTGACCATTTTTTTCTAAATTTTGATTTTTATCTTAAACTAAATTCAATTCTTTACCTTTACATAGAATATCTTAATTAATTATAAAAAAAAATCTGATGAAAATATATGTATATCATGCATCGTGGTGCATTGTAAATTTTTACAATTCTCAGTCTTCCAACTGTAATGATGATGATATCTGGTGCTACATAGTTGTCTTTAAGGTCACTATCTCGTATAAAGATATATAACAATTATACCCAATAAGGATTCCTTAATACCGGAATGCCATTTTCATGCGAACGTACGTAGACAAAATAGAGAGAAATAAAGAATACCTAAAGAACGCACAAAACGACAATTGAACATGATGCAGGCTCGGTTAGATTGCGGTAATGGAAAGAGCAAGTCACCGTTCACGCCCCCTAGCACCGGCTTAAGCAGTATTCAATACTTAACAGAAAATGGTAAATATTGGAATTTTGAAACATCAGCAGATATGTTCATACGGCAATTATCGTGGAATATTCAATATGACACATTAATGCTATTCCATGAAAAATGGCGTATGTTCCCCAAAATAAGAATGCACATATCCTAAACGAGAAAACTATGGGCGGAACTAAGCAAAATGAATTTTAAATGGGGATCAGAGGTTATGAGGGCTGCATATTAACATAAGATAAGACTTCAAAAGACAAAGTAAAAAAGAAGCTAGGCAACATATCCTAAGGGTGATTAAACAATATTTAAGTGTGGGAATACTTGAACCACCCAACTAGATTAAAGCCGAATAGAAAGAACAACAAGAGCGATCAGTAATCACATTTGTCGCCTCATGATGGCCAATTTCATGTTGGGACAAACTTTGTGACAGACAGACGGAAAGACAGACAGACAGTGCACAACTAGACTTGGTACTGATCATTCCTGTAAAGTTTGGATAAAATTGCACCAGTAGTTTATAAGGAGTAGTCCGGACAAGCTTTTGCGTATCTGGCAACACACAGAAAAAACACCTTTTCATCAAAGGGCCATAGCTCGGCTAAAAATCATTTAACCGGAAAACCCGTGCAATATGCGCCAGGACTTAAGCTACAGATCAATTCTGTAAAGTTTCATTGAAATTGCATTAGTGGTATAAGAGAAGTAGTCCGGACAAACTTTAAAAATAAAAATTGTTAAAGGGCCATAACTCTGACAAAAATCATTGAACCGGAAAATGCTGACAATATGCACAACTAGACTTGGAACTGATCATTCCTGTAAACTTTGGATGAAATTGCACCAGTAGTTTATGAGGAATAGTCCGGACAAGCTTTTGTGTATCTGGCACCACACAGAAAAAAACCTTTTTATCAAAGGGCAATGATTCGGCCAAAAATCATTCAACCGGAAAACCCGTGCAATATGCGCAAGGACTTGAGCTATAGATCAATCCTGTAAAGTTTCATTGAAATTGCATAAGTGGTATTGGAGCAGTAGTCCGGACAAACTTTAAAATTAAAAATTATTAAAGGGCCATAACTCTGACAAAAATCATTCAACCGGAAAATGCTGACAATATGCACAACTAGACTTGTACTGATCATTCCTGTAAAGTTTGGATGAAATTGCACCAGTAGTTTATGAGGAGTAGTCCGGACAAGTTTTGTGACGGACAGACAGACAGACAGACGACGGAGAAGTGATCCCTATATGTCGCCACTACTCCGTAGAGGCGACACAAAAATACCAAATGCAAAACAATAATGTCGTGCTGAACGTTTTTGAAGGATCGGAAATATAGTATTCCTGATTGAATGTACAGGGCGACTTTTTACATTTTATATCAAATTATATTTTTCAAGGTTAGTGTGGCGTTAATCTGTTGAAAAAGATAACGTAAACTTCTTTTGGCGTACTTTTAATGTAAAGTATTCATAGCTTCTACTATAATGTTTTAATTAACATTATTTGTAATTCAGACTATATGATATATCGCATTATTAACAGACGATCGTTTCTGTATAATTTTAGTGTAAGTTGATTAGCCAATCATAAAAAGTCGTAAGAAGGCTTGTTGTGCAAAAGCATATACAAGCGAGGGTACTTAAGGTGAGAGTTAGAGCACGAGACTAGTAATCGACATTGTGGGTTCGATTCCCAGGCTGGCAAACTAAAATTACTAACCTGTCTTTCGGATGAGACTTAAAATCTAGGTGCAGTGTATGCGTGCCTATACTATTATCGCGTTAAAGAACCAGAAGGAGCTTCTGAGATTTTGGCATCTAGCTGTATCTGTATCTTGCACTATCCTCAAAAATATAAAATGACTAATGATGGGAAATATTGGATTGTCGACACTGAAGTTATATCTTTTATGTATTGTCTGTTATGGAAAATTTTGTGGGAGAGAGAATTGTAGGTTTTTGTAGTAGAAAGTTAACCCATGTAACCGAGTTGCAGGATACTTTTTTGAATCACCCTTAGGATATGTTGCCTGCTTTTTAAATTTGTCTTTTGACGTCTTATCTGTGATACGCAGGCTTCATGACCTCTGATCCCCTTTCAAAAATTCCATTTTATTTAGTTCCGCCCATTGTTTTTCTCGTTTAGGGCACTCGCTTTTTTATTACTTTGGGGACCATATGCCCGCTTTTCATGGAATGGCACGGAAGTGTCACATTTGAAAGGTTTTTTCATGATAACCGCCGTATGAACACATCTGCGGATGTTTCTAAATTCAAAAAATTTTTCTATTTCATGTTTAAATGTTGAATTCTGCTTAAGCTGGTGCTAGGGGGCGTGGACAGTAAATTGCACTTTCCAGTACCGTCCATGAACAGGCTCAATCAAACCAAGCCTGCAACATTTTCAATTTTGCCATGTTGGGCTTTCTTTAGGGATTCTGTATTTATCTATTTTATGATCACATCCGTGTTATTTGTGCCGTGTGGCGGCTGTAAAAAGTCTCCCAGTACATTTAATCAATGATGTTATATATTCGATCCTTGAAGATCGTTCAGCACGACATTATTGTTGTGCCTGTGGTATTTTTAAATTCAACTTTTCGGCATTTTCTAGTTGGGTGGTTCCAATATTCCTACTTGAACAAGCAATTATCATAGTATTGCAAGCAATTCATAAGTCCCCTACCGGTTAGAACCCAAGCAACATTCTGATTTCAATTTTACCAGTGAATGAATGACATGAATGAACTTAAATCTTTTTGAGTTCTAAGTTTGTCTATTTCACAGTAATGTGTTAAGTTTCCCTGCCTAGTAAGGAAATTATGTTTATACAACCTTGTCATATTATTACGATGTGGGATTTTAAAAGTAAATCCTATAAGGAATGAAGAAGTTGGAGTAAAAAATACCAATTTCTCGAAAAAATCTAAGTTCAAGGGGGACATAATTCTGGAAATAGTCTTGCTAGAGTATTTAACCTTCTCAAAAATGTTGAGTGATAAAAGAAACATATATTATGAAGTTTGAAGTAGATACATTAGGAAATAAAGAAGTTATTTAAAAAAAAGACAACATTTTTTTTTTATATAAAATTCTAAGTTCAAGGGAGGTAATACTGGTAATTTTTGTGCTAGAGTTGTAAACCTTGTCACATATGATGTGGTTGATGACCAGAAACTTATATTTAAAGTTTGAAGTAAACACCTTAAGAAATAAAGAACTTATAGTGAAAAAGCTGAAAAATTTAAATCAGAAATCTTGAAATTCCAGGCTATTTGTTGCCATAGCAACCAGAATTTTCAACATGGGAAGAAAAAAAAAGATGTGCATAATCTGCAGACTGCCATCTACCCATATTTTAAGTTTCATAAAAATATTTTCAGTACTTTTTGAGTTTATCACTGGATCCAGTTTATGTGTTTAAATTTGCAATATTTTCAGACTATTTGTTGCCCCAAGCAACCAGAATTTTCAACATAGGAAGAAAAGAAAAAAAGACGTGCATAATTTTCATACTGCCATCTATCCATATATCAAGTTTCATAAAAAATATTTTCAGTACTTTTTGCGTTATTATCGCGGGATCCAGTTTTGTGGACTGACGGACTGACAGACAGACAGACGGACAGACGGACGGAGGGTAAACCTAAAGTCCCCTCCGGTTAAACCGGTAGGGGACTAATAGTGTTAAATCACCCTTAGGATATGTTGCCTGCTTTCTAAATTTGTCTTTTGACATCTTATCTGTGATACGCAGGCTTCATAACCTCTGATCCCCTTTCAAAGTTCCATTTTATTCAGTTCCGTCCATTGTTTTCTCGTTTAGGGCACACGCTTTTTATTACTTGGGGACCATACGCCGCTTTTCATGGAATGGCACGGAAGTGTCACATTGAAGGTTCCATGATAACCGCCGTATGAACACATCTGCGGATGTTTTAAATTCAAAATTTTACTACTTTATGTTTAAATGTTGAATTCTGCCTAAGCCGGTGCTAGGGGGTGTGGACAGTAAATTGCACTTTCCATTACCGTCCAAGAACAGGCTCAATCAAACCGAGCCTGCAACAATCTCAATTTTGCCGTGTTGGGCTTTCTTTAGGGATTCTGTATTTATCTATTTTATAAAACAGAAATTGTGATGAAAACTTAAATATTTTTGTAACAAAAGTTTAAGCTTTGTATCCATTTATGACGATAATTAGATGGTATATAAGTTGGTACTTTTGCCAGAACGCCACAGGAAACCTGCATCAAAGTGTCCTATATTAGGCTAGGCTTTCTTGTCATAGCCTTAACGTTTGTAATATAATAAAACATATTTGGCTCTTTGCTCCTATGTAAAATACGCGTTTTTTTATGATTACAAACAATTTAGAATTTTTGATTTTTTGTAGTGTTTGCATTTATTACAAAAATGAACAGTTTTTGCAACAGGTTTTTACATATAAATATCTGGAAAAAAGTGAAGTACGGGGCAACGTTTTACGGCTGCCTTACAACACTTGACACCTGCTGCTGTAATGTATTATAAATAGCTGTAAAAAAGTAATCGCTCGAAAGCATTAAAAACAGCAAAATTACATGAAAATTGCAAACACAGTTTAAGGGATGAGGGATAATGAAACAATGCAATATCCCTCACGCCCTAGCACCGGCTTGAGCGGTACTCAATTCTCAACATTTAAAAGTGCTGAACTCAATGGTCCAGAAGGACCACTTAAGTACAGGGCAACTTTTTACATATACAACCATAATAATAATAATAATAATAATAATGCCATGCCAAATGTAAAGGATGATATTTAAATTTAAGTTTAGATATATTACCCGAAAGCTACTTTTACAATTTCAGTATACAGTAAACCATCCGTCCCGACATTTTCCAACGTGGAAGTCCAAGAATATTGTAAACCTCAGCAATGTATAGTGGCTATTGTAAATAAATTACAAACGATAGAATGTTTCGTGAAAGGTGGATCAAGGGAAATGACCCTAAATTTGCTAAAGAACAACACAAAATTAACAAATACCAATCAAACGCATAAAAAAATATATTCTATTTCTCATTACCATATAAGATATACGTTTATACCAAGTCAAACTGACACTGACATCAGATTTACGTGTACGGTGAAGAATACATCTCATTCAGTACAATCATCAACATCTGTGATTATGTATGTCATAGGTATGAAATTTATTGATTCGTAAACGATTACAAAATAACAAGTAAATGATTTATAGATTTGTGTTTTGGATGAAAAAGTACAGTATTCCTAACTCAAATATTTTCTTATTCAACTGTAGCGGATTTGACGTTTCATTAATTGATATGATATAGAAATATAAATATTTACCGCTCAGACCATGAAACAATAAAGTGTTTAATATTTATTTACCGTTAGAAAGAGCATTTGTGTTTAAATGTTTATAAAAGACTGACCTTGTTTTCTTTTATGAAAAAGATAAACTTAGTAAATAAAATATTCAATATAAATTCTTTTATGCTTTAGTTCCCCCAACCAAGATTGAGGTGAATGCTAACGAGGTAATAGAAGAAGAACAAGGTGAAGTTCAATGTATAGCAATAAATGGGAGACCGCCGCTAAAGTTGGACTTGTCTATCGATAGTAAATTAGAGACTAATACAAGGACAAAGACTAAAACAAAGCCAGGGAAATTGTACGATACCATTACGTCAACAACAAGGCCCTTTACACGGGTTGATAATCAGAAGAAGATATTGTGTTGTAGCAATATTGGAGGGAAGATATGTGGAGAGACAAAACTCAATGTATTGTGTAAGTGATTTTATTGATTATTCAGTTTATTTGTTTGATTGTTTAAATCGTAGTAAAAGAATAAATAAATACAATGCACTCATTTTTAACATCGATTGTAGTTGTTTGAGCTCTTGCGTGCGTGACATTTTTGTCAAGTTATTGGTATACAAAATCCGCTATGACTGTCAATGTCAACGTGACTTGTGAAGTGTAAGGACCAAAGTCGCATGCGTTGTCGGGTTATTGGTCGGTTTGTTGAGATAACATTGTGAAAAAGAGCACATGGGTGATAAAATTAGTAATGTAAACTTTTATTTACGTGTAATTTACATTCAATTTGGGGAATGAAAGCGTCTTGTATTTGTTATGGATTTTATATACCTTTAAGGGATAAAAATATTCGACACCTACATCAATGGTAAAAATATCTGATTTATTACAATATTAATTTGGCTTTTTTGTTTTGTTTTTATCAATCAATTTTAATTTATATTGATACTTAAACAGTTAAACCAAAACAAATTGTTAAATTTAAGGAAATTTCCCTAAAACAAAATAAAGGGGAAAATGGAAAACACCAATAAAAAACATTAAAAGTTCTCAGTCGAAAAAGTGGGAACCCAAAAAGAAGTTTTCCATTGTAATAAGTGGAGTAAAACCTTTTAAAGCAAACGTTCCCTCGATGAAAAGAAGAGGGGGCCCAAAATGTAACATATGGGTGGAATATACATGGGTAAGTACATTACCCCCACAAACCCAATAAAAAATTTGGGTAAAAATGTTTCTAAATCAGCTCTGTGTCTTCATAAAAATTTTATTAAATTTGTCTTTTTTTAAAAAGTAAAGGGAAAAAAATGAAATGAAAATACATTTTTGGGCGTGAAAACAAAGTTGGAACCGCGCGACGCGAAAAACCCGGCCCTTAATGACAGGGCAATAAAATGTGCACTACAGCGATTTAAATGACGTCACTCTTGTTGCGTATTACACATGTAAATACGGAAACACTTTTTATCGTGTGCTATTGAGTTTTTTTTAAAGTGTATTGACTTTGGAATTCAGAGGAAACATTAAAAGATGGAGGAGGAATTAGAAATAAGTGTGTTTTATGTATAATTCAGGAAAATCAGCAACAAAAACATATTTTGCATTTTTATAAATTATAATCAGAGCATATATATTCTAGTAGCATTGGTAATCTTTTATTGTTGGTAGTACACTGACGTTTGTAAATAGTATAGAATCTACAGTTACTTACATTATATCTAAGTATACAATATACAAAAGAACAAGAATTGGCAACTAAATGCGGTGCCTTTATATAGAAAAAATTAAGATATTCTAGATCTAGAAATCTACGTTGTTTTGATTTTAAATAACTTTACTGCAGTTTTGTATTGAGCGTTTGCTTTCATAATTCATATATTATCGGCAGATTGTTTTAAGAATAATCAAATCAGTCCCAAGATAAATTAATACTCATAGTTCATTTTGAAAATTTTTGCAAGAAAATAGGAAAGTATGCCAAGTCATCATGGAATAAAAATTGTTTTTTTTTTAGATTAAAATATTGATTAATAACCTAACTCAGTACAGATTTGTGTATACGTCAGTGGATAGTGCAGTGGCCTGTAACGCAAGCGAATCGAGTTCGAATATCAGCTGAGGCAAACATTTTTAATAATAGTAATGAGGAGGGAATTTGTGAAACATCTGATGATACACAGACAGTAAGACAATTTATTATAAAAGGTTGAGGTTGTCGTCTTAATTGTCATACAAAGTTTGAATTTGACGACATACTGAGTCATATTCTTTCTATCAGGGAAATGACAAAGGAGGAGAAAGAACTTTGTATCATGTCATTAGTGGCTGAGGGAAACGACGAGAAAACTAAACGTGGCAAAAAAAGGCAGCGTTCTAGGAAGACATTTCGGGTGACAGGAAAAACGGTGTGCAAAGGAACATTCATGTTATGTTATGACATTACGAAATATGCATTAGGGGCCATTGTTAAACATGTCAGTCAACACGGCGTAACTCGAAGGCAGCATGGCAACGCAGGAAAAAAAACCCAAAGCATGCTATTACGTATGATGATGTCATGCGCGTTCTTCATTTCATCCGCAATTATGCAGAAAAAAAGAGGTCTCCCTCAACCTGCAGCCCCTCGTTGCCTAGACAACATCCCACCAGTGTATCTGACGTCTGACACAACCAAAAAAAGACATGCATCAGCTGTACAAACAGTCTTGTTCAGATCCCCGTGTGCACGCTTTAGAGCTAACGTCATTCAAAGACATCTGGCGGACATGTTTACCGCATATTCGTATAGCTAGCCCAAAAGATGATGTATGTGTCACTTGTGAGAAGCTGCGCGGACAGATATCAGGTACAGTGACCGAGGATGTGACACTAGCAACAACGACGGCACTGCGGGACCACGTACTTCTTGCACAAAACGTAATGATAGAAAAGAACAATAATGTAACTTCACATTTATAATTAATTTAAACAGATATTTGACCTGCATGAATTATTAATTATTTTCTAAGCATATCTTATAATATCAAATAAGACTCAATGCACGAAAGAATTGGCAAAAAATGCATGTGCTTTCTATTTCGACAATATCTTGATTCTTATGATTTTGAATATTAAAATCATTGTTTTAAGAAGTTAAAATTTATGTTTTACTTTGGATATCTTTTTTTTTTTGTAATTTTATAGGAATATATAATGAGTGCATACGGCGTAGTGTTGACACACGTGACTCGGAGGAACAGTTTATCCATCTTACATTTGACTTTAGTCAGAACGTCAGTTTGCCTCATTTTCTCGCCAGATGGGTCCATTATACTTTTTAACCCTACGTAAAATACAAATATTCGGAGTAAGACTGGATGGCATGCCTCGCCAACTCAACTTTCTGATTGACGAAAATCAAACCATAGGTCCAGATGGTAAAGGGACACACGGACCTGACGCTGTGCTGTCGATGGTAGGCTGGACATTACAGATTCACGCTAATCAGACTCCTGCCTTGTCGATACACTCGGATAATTGCCCTGGTAATTATTTTTGATTTTTGTAGCAAAATATTTACAATGCGGTTAATTATATCACGTAAACTACCATCTTAACGATCAGATATATATTAGTACTTGGGATATACTTTTTAAAATTAATACCAGAACCAGTTTCAACTTATGTAATACCAGGAGATATATCAGTACTGCTGTACCAGTACGTTTAGTTTAAAGGCAAATAAATACCAGTACTTTTACATTTAAGGGATTTTAACTTAGTTTGCATACAGATTGTCACAACAAAATGTTTGTAATGTAAAAGTGAATTAACTTTCCATGAATAGAACAATATATGTTATAAAAAATTCCTTTTTCAATTTATTATGAAAACAAAAGTAGTGCCAAATGCAGTACCAGTACCACATTTTGAGCAGTTATTCAGTACCAGTACAAGTGGCAGCATAGCTTGTGTTTGACAGTACTTATGCCGTATTTGCAAAATAAATAATTATGCAAGCAGTGTTTGCAAAATAAATGTGCATTAGGTACTGCAGAATCAGTACTAGTAATGCAATTTTAAAAATGCATGTTTGTACATAGTTAAAAATATCAGTCTTACTATTTTCTTCACAATTCAAAGACTTATTGTGTAAACTCAATTGCTATAGCTCAATAAATTACTAAACATACAAATTAATTGAACTATATTTTATATTTCAAGACAGAATAAAAACCGTTACACTATTGGATATATTATGTGGCGCGTTATGACAGGACAGATTGAAAAGAACGAGTATCATATGCAAGTACCAGGTACTGATTCAAGAAATCTTAATTACTTAGATTCTTTTCTAACTTCTAGTTACTCGGCAATCTAAACAAATTTTGGCAATCTTATCTTGTTTTTCCCCCAAGACAATATATATGTAACATAAACACCGTAGTTTTGTTCAAAAGCATAAGTATTTATGTGTTTTTTCCTTTTAAATCGCAGCAGGTAAGGCTTTTCCATATTAATAATAATTTAAATTTTCTTTTAAGGACATGCGAGGTGTTAAGTTGATGCGGGATTTGCACATCTAAAAATTAAATTCCGGGGGCATGATGTAGAAACACTTCAACAGCTGGCCGATGTAACAGAGAAGTCATCTACAACCAACAGCGCTGTATGTTACCCTCAGTGGTCATGGCGGCAATGGAAACCCTTTCTAGAGAGATTTTTCAAACCAATAATTGGTATAAGGTAAACTATACTTATCTCATTCAAATGAAAATGTTAACTCACAATTCCAGACTCTACGTTCCTGAACCATAGAAAGAGAAAATGTCTTTTACATGAAAATTTAAGGATGTGGTGTTTCTATTAATCGTTTACTAGTATTTTTTTTTTCTTTAATTTTACTAAATGGTTCTTTAAAAGTTATAAGCTATTTCTAATAAAATACTTTACAAAATTAAAAAAAAATTGACAAAATGATTCTATAATCACATATTGAAAGAAAGAGTTGTCACATAGAATGTCTCCACATTTATATTATTAAGTTATATAAGGATTGTAAATAGTACATGTGTTGTATTACACTCTCACTAGTTTATTTCATTTATTGATATGCGTTTACCATTTTTCATATTCATGCATGTATATATTTGTTGTATATGAAGATGAGCTGTATATGCTTAATTCAAAATAAAATATATGTTCTGTTCTGTTCTGTATATTATTATGAAACAGAATACATGTAAAATGTTCCGGAACAAAATATTATGCAGACGAATTCGTCGCATATATCCACCTTAATACACTTTAACGTGAATGAAATTCTGTAACAGTTTTTTCTGCCGCGTGACCAAGTTTACAGTCATGCTATGTAAGAGCTTTCCAAGCTCTTCCGTTCTTTTGATTGAAATATTTCTAAATAAGCTCTGACTAATGTTTATGTTTTTTATTTATACATGCATTTTAGGAAATCAGTTTGTTGCATTTGTCATCACGGATATTTATCATTTTTCTATTGATAGAAAATTCCAGCACTTCCGGTTCCAGTCGGACTCACCGGTAGTGGTGATGGCGAGAATAACATCTGAAGGCGAGGAACATTTGATCCAAGTCTTGAAAGAACCCGGATTCCGGTTCAGTTCATGTGTCCGTCCAAGGGTTATTACGCCCGGAGGAATGACAGCAGAGCGTAAGAGATATTTGTCGCGAAGTGTGCGAGCGTTTGTCAGTCAAGACAGTCAGTCATATTATCAGTGATTAAAGTGCACTGTTATAACAGCTAAGTGCTGACTAAAGTACCCAGAACTTTTCTTTGTAGTTTTAAACTACCACCATTGTCTCTATGTTCATAATACGCTATTATTTAATATTTTACAATTTCTACATTTTCTGTTGTAAAGAAAAACATGGAGCTTTTTATTTCACTGTCTATATTTTTGCTACATTATTATAGCCGCATAAATAAATAACGTTAAAATACGTAGACACATACACTATTGTTTGTTTATTTATTTCTTTGTACATTTTGTATTTGGTATATACCTAACAAGGTGTCTGCTGACGGCAACGGATTAAACCTATGCGATCATATAAAACCCAACAACGTTTTCTGTTCGTGGTCTGCAATATTTGTTTTTCAGTGAAAAAATCCCGTAAGGATGATGAAAGGTTTTGTCCAAATTGAAGGAATATAACGTGGCAATGATTTACACCGTGTATGACACGCTTATGCGTGTTGTTATTACGTTGCTGCTAAGCAACACTAAAATCGCAATTAGCGAGAGGTCTAATGTTTACATAACTTCATAACCAACTTCTTTTGAAAGTTTAATCTTAATAATTCAGTGGATTTAAGATAAATATAATTGCCGTTTAAAATTCTACAATTAATAACGTTAAACGTAAATTTAATTTTTCGACGTCATTTGTTAACAAAGTGTTCAAATATATGACGTTCTTTAAATAGGCATATCTCGATAATTAATCTTTTGATTTTAAAACGGTTTTCACTCTCTTATTCAGAAAAAAATATCTACAACAATGAGTTAAAAACCAAATTTCGAAAAAAATGTCATTAAGACCGGTTTTCTCGCGTCGCGCCTCAAATCATTTTTGTTGCTCAAAACGAGAAATAAAGAGATAACTGGAAACTTTAAACAGCGCCTGACACGTTAAATGCAATGCTATTGTTTTTTAATTGTTTATCTCTTGTTTTAGTTGTTCACTTAGTTAAATAAAATGGGGTGATTGATAAAGTTAAACACAATACGAAAGTTCTCGACACCTGGACGGACTGGTATCAATCTTTTTGCAAAAGTTAAAATTGTAATCACTTTCGACCCGAAGGGTTAATTTGAATTTTTATCTTTGAACTTTGCTTATGTTACCTCGTCCTTATTGATCTACAGTATTTAGAATATTTTATATCATGTTGATCTGGTGAATGTTTGTTTTTTATTGTTGTGTTTTAGTCTGTTTGAAAGCAGTTGCCTTGCAGGATATTCCATTTTCTGATATCTCGTTCCAGATTCGGAGCTTCATTTTTACAAGACATGATAATTCAAGGGAGATCAAATGTGAAGTGAAAAATGAAGGCTTTCCCGATCTTAGATTAAATGTTGAATATACTCTTAATATAACGTGTATGCCTTTTCTTATTTTTCTTTTCTTTTTTTTAATGAATACATTTTGTTTAACTCTGTATAAACTGTAAAACTTGAACAAAACCTTGTAAAATTTGTATGCTTATTATCTATCGCCTCACTTGTTATTGGGGATTCTTCGGAATGTATTTTAAGGTTTTTTTTTAATAAAATCAGGTAAAATGAATTTCTCTGAAACCAATACTAAATTATAGTATAATACTAAGTGATAACAATAAGTGGTTCTTTATTTTTTCCGTTACTGCAGATTATCCAATAGTAACTATATCAGAGAAAGAACAGAAAACAGTTTACCTCGGTGATGATGTTGACTTGACCTGTAACGTGGACAGCAATCCCCCATCAACACTTTCGTGGCAGAATCAGACCGGCATTATTACAGGTTTTATGCAGACAAATTCATAGTTTTTAAAATATAGTAATTCCATATAATCCTTTTTCATCTAATATAACATAGTTTATTGTGTGATGATCTAAATTGACTTACTGTCCTCATACTGATTTTGATTGATTTGTAATTGTTTAAACATCATACATATCAGTTTACTAATCTCTAATATATTGCATATATATTTTCATGTTAAAGCCTTAGTTAAATCGTGCTCTTATATTGCGCTGAAAGTAAAATTCATATCGCAACTGTTTAATTTTTTCTAAGAATACTAAAGGTGCTTCTTATTTCAGTTGTTTTCTTAGTTGATACACATTTTAAAGCACTAACTGGCTGATCAAAAGCTGTTATATATATTATTTATTATTTATTTCTAAAGAGATATTCGGAGAAAAATCAATAAAGCTTTATTTAACAAACGTTTCGACCGACCATTCCCAGACATATAGTTGCAAGGCCCATAATGGAATTGGTGGAATTGTATCAAGAAATATAACGCTCATCGTGACAGGTATTTCTTGTAGGCTGCAAACTTTGATGTAATATTTATGTACAAATTCTGGAAATGTAATGACAGAAATATGAAATATATAGCGTCTTATATGAAAATAACGCTTTTGGATAAGTGATAGAGTTTTAAAACTTAGTATTAAGACTCTCATGAATAAATCTTAATATCTTAAAATGTAGCATTTACATAAAATTATGCAACTTTTATAAAAATCATAACTGTCTGATGAGAGTGATAATGCTTCATATACAAATTATAATGATTGAGCTATTGTTTTCCTTTCCTCCATCAGATCCATCTGAAAGTCAAGTAGCCAAAGCAACTAAACCATCGGCCAAGTCAAGCTTTGCATTAGTCGTTGGGCCAATAATTGGCTGTATTTTAGTTATCTTCATAGCGGTCATTGTGACTCTTATTGTACGCAAGAAATGACAGAATGAGACACCAGACAAAAAGAACATTCATGAACTTAACATTGAGGAAAGAAATGAGTATGTAACATATATCTCTTATATTTATTCGGAGTTTTCCATTTTATTCCTTTCTTATTACATGCACATTAGACTCCTTACTTGTCGAAGCAAACTTTTATGTGCAGAAATGTCATCTATTTATAGGCTATGTGTTTGATAGGTAAAAAGCTTCACAGCAATTACTGACAAAGGTGTTACATCACGTGAAGTCAATAAAAATAGCAGCCAGATAAAGAATAACGAAAATGACGTAAACATTTGCATGTAAAACTTTAAGCGTTTTATAAGTCTGAAACCCTAATGAGCTCATAATTAACGATTATGAATTTCACATGAATCAAGCGGCAGCAAAGGCTATTTCCCATGAAAGTTTGTGCTTCGTGGGGCTCGGAGTATGGACATGTACCACAATCTTTACGTCACCTTGTTTGTCGTGTGAAATTGCACGTTTTCTTTCAATATAATAGCTAAATATTCTTAATAATAATAAATCTTTTCGGTAAAAAAACAGTAAATTACAATCAGATAGAAACTTAGAATGAATTATCAGTAATTATGCATTTACTTACTTAATTTCTAAAATTGACTTTACCTGGTTGATGTACTTTGCACAATTTGTTTTTACTAGTTTGCTTGCATGCAAAGAGGTTCAAAAATATGTTTTATTTTCAGAAATTTATATCCGACTGGAAACGGTAAGTGCTAGAACAAACATTTATTTGCCCATGTTCCATATGCACTTATTTGTATGACAACTTTATTTTCCTGCATGATGTAAAACCTAACATCTTTAAACTGCTGTGGTATGCCGATAACGAATCTTGGACGTATTCAACCGATTTCAGATAGTTTTGTATTGGCCATAAGATTTTTTTCTTTTATAGCAATACATACATTCTTCCGATGCGGTACGTTGCTATGCAAAGACCAAAAGAAGTATTTTCTCGAGCAAGGGCAGAAACATCACGCCCTTCACAGAAATGTCGGCGTTTATAGAAAATGGCTTGAAAGTATAAAATACATAAGTATCAATTAATATTAACGACATATCTTTTAACAAAAAAGCAGCAAAAGAACTGTTGCATATAAAACATATAAACAGGAGGAGAATATTTCCTTTCAGAAATTGTCCCGCGTTGAGCACGATAATTATTGTGAGAATCGTTCTAACCATCCAAATTCATTTATTAGCAAAAAATGTTTATCTTATTTTTCTTGATCTTTATTTCAAAAACAAAATAGATAAAAGTATCTGTGAGATTTATATTTCTTATGTTTTCTATCTCCATGAATAAGTTAGTATTCGACCGTGCATATCCAGTAACGCAAGAATGTGTAAATAACGTAAAAGTAAAGCCAAATCTGTACAACGATATTGCCACAACGAATAACGAGTAAGTTAACGAACCAAAATATTTTATTCGAAATCAAATTTAAAGAAATGAAATCGCGCATACGGCTGCTACGACATTATACTTTAAAAAGCATTTAATTCTTTTCAGGAATATGTTTTACTTCGTTAGATCATTCATGAGAAAGACAACCTGATTACCGTTTTGAAGGTGACTTTTGTGCTTTCGTTAAATAAATATGTACATTTAACACATTTAAAACGTTACTTTTTCAAATTGTGTATACCTAGGCTAAGATATTTTGTCAAACTACAATTGTTGTATAACATAAAAAGGAAGCAGGTAAAATAAGACTTAGCTACTTAAATGAGATAGCTGCCGTTGCTTCAGTTCTCCATTCACGAATTTGGCGTTACTTCGTAAAAATGGTCTCAATTACATTTTATCAGCTAAGTTAAGTATAATATGACACGAGTAGATTGGTAAATGTCTCAGGTACAACGAGTATTAAAAGTCAAAAAGTATGTTATGTTATTGTATTCAAAGATAGCAACGAATCAAACTAAAAATCTCCATCAATTCGCTAGTCAGATCGTCATTTTCACAATCGTCGTTTTCATAATCGGTTTGATTAAGTCTGTACATGAGGGGTAATGAATACGTGCAACATCCCTCACGCCCACTAGCACCGGTTTGAACGGTACTCAATTTTCAACACTTAATAGTGCTGGCATCAATGATCCAAAAGGACCAGACAAATATAACAACACTGAAGTGAAATACGGAGCAATTTTTTACAGCTGCCACACAGCACTTGACACCTGTTGTTGAATTATAAAAATCTGGAAACAAAGTGATCCCTCGGAAGCATGAATCACAACAAAATAACAAGATAATTGCAGAATCGGTTTTGATTTCTTTTGCCCTACACAGAATAAGCAAGCGCGACATGCTTCTTCCGTTTCTAAGTAAATATGGCATTGCAAACAATATATTATTAATTTAGTAGTTAAAGTACAACACACACAAATGTAGATGTTTAGTACTTAAGGTAGACCATGGGTAATGGGCACCATAAGGAACTGTAAAATTGACAACATAGGACAGTTATATGTCTTCAAGGTCACCTGTATGCAAAATTTAGATAAAATTTACCGTGTGGTTTATAAGTTATGGATATATTTCTGAACTAAGACCTTGCCATTAGAAGGGCTTATTTTCAGAAATGAGGAAACTGTAAATAATCTGTAATATCATCATTAAAAAAAATGTTTTTCTATTGCTTATTATTAAAAAACAAATAATAACATTCAGGTAACACATAACACGAGCAAAATGTTTGTTTCTAAACAAAATGTTCTTAATATGTATAAAAATGTTACCCTACCCCATCCACTTTTAACACTTATTTTACCATTTCCCTATCTAAAATGCCTTATTCAAAATATCCCTAAAATTTATTGAAATGAGGGTCTGTTTTCAAAGTTTGCCTAAATTTTCTCAAAGGTTTATTAGTTGATCATGCGAAATATAAAATACTTTTACCGTGTAGTTTTTATTTTATCGAACTTTGAAAATATCTGGTATCATATTTGCTATAAATTTTGGCATTATTTAGCAAAAAAATACCTAAAATAATTATGTAATTTAAATCAAACTTTTTTCTTCCAGAAGGGATCAGAGAGATACATAAATAATGATAAAAAGAAAAAAAGAAAGAAAAAAAAGTTGCCCCTTCTGGGGTTTGAACCCACGCCCCTCAATTTCAATGTAGTTTACAAGCGATTCTAGCCTATTTGAATACTCTTCAAAGTGGAGGTAATGCATTACCCATGGTCTACCTTAATTAAAACACCTACTACGGGAATTAGCGTTGCGATGCAGTAACGTTGAACCATCGTCCATTTGTCATTATATTTTATTGAGTTTTGCATTGGCACCCAACAGATAGCATTCATGGTTGTTCTTTGTGATAAGAAGTCTTGATGCTACGAGATTTTGGTACAACACTTGATATATTTTAATTTCTATATTACCTTTAAACTAAATTATCATTCCAAATTGACATATAGAGAATAACATGCTACTGTCTTTTGATATCAATTTTATCAGGCGAGGCTGATATGGGCTAGAAAGGGCGAGGCTTGCCGAGCCCTTTCTGCCCATATCAGCCGAGCCTGATAAAATTGATATCAAAAGACAGTAGCATGTTTTTCTATTTATCATGTAACACATAACAACTGTCAAAATAAAAGAATAATCTACTTTTAAATAGCGAATTTCGTTAAAAAGGGGGATTTTTGTTCAAAGAAATAATTCTTGAAAAAATTCCTCCGCCTCTGAAACTTAGAATTTGTTATTGGCGGCCATTTTTTCTTTCGACTCGTATAAAATATACAACAGATTGTAGGCCTAATACGATAAAATTCTTACCTTTAATTTAAACATCGATCCAAAAATCCACTTACAATCACATAAACTAAACTTTACTGCAATTTTTGTTTTAAATTGTCAAATTCAAAAGTTCACGATATCCCATTTTAATCAAAGAAAAGTCAAATCGGCAATCAAACACAAGCTACACAAACGTGCGTCTTATTTTTTAAACGAAACAATTTGTTCACTTATTGAATAATAATCCGGCGAAATAAAGTAAACATTTACAAGATCTCAATGAAAATCGTCTAGCCTGTTTGTTATGATTACATGTATAGTATGACGTGAACATCGATGATGTCATTTGCAATATAAATTATGACGTCACTTCATTTAGTTGGAGCTAAAACTATTCGCTATCTAATTTATTCGTAATTGAAATCGAAATAATAGGCCAAAATATCGCACCTTGATTCAAGACTTGTAAGGGTATGAGATTACATTGTAGAATTCACATGCTGGTAAAAATGAGAATATAAGCAATTGAAAAAAGTCCGTTAAAATGGGCGGGGCTTATTTTTGATATCAGGTTACTGACCTGATATCAAAAATAATTATCAGGCAAGTGTTATCGGGCAGTTACCATAGTAGTTGCATGATAAATTTAAGGTATTGCTACCGATTCCTGAATTTTGTCTTGATGGGGGTTATCTAAAGTTAAGAAAAAATTAATACATGGAGACACTTTTACTCGTATTTTTTATTAAGCATCATGTATGGAATGTAAAACTGCTTACCTTAATAGAAATAAAAACTTAGTATATTGAATGTGTTACATACAGAAAATAAGCACTTGATTGTCTTTATGAAACTGTCTTAACGAAAGATCTGTCATCACAAACACCAAGTGTCTTGGTCTCATTCGAGTATCATAATTACTTTTATGATATTTAATTCATGTTGATTAGAAAAGTTAGTTTGATATAGGTGTTTAATTAAATGAAACGATGCTTATTTCTTGTTTTAAGGTATGCCTCCTCCCTAATTGGCACTATAAAGGATTGTAAAATTGACAACATTGGTCAGTTATAGACTTGAATGCAAAATGTAAACAAAGTTTACCGTATGTTTTACGAGATGTTGAGATAAAGTTGTGTCTTATTTAAAACTTGGATATTGAACGGTTTTTTACAGAAATGAGAAACTCCAAGTAATCTTATCATCATTATGAAAAATGTTTTCGTATTGAATAATTAAAAATCAAATAAAAGCATTCAGTTAACAAATCACATAATCAAAATTTATTGTTTTTCATCAAAATGTTTGCAATATGTATAAAAATGTTACCCTGCGCAACTCATTTCTATTACTTGTTCTACTGCTTTCCTACTGTAGTTAGATGGACTTGTTGAAAATATTCCAAAGAAAAAACAAAATGAGGACTGTTCTCAAAGGTTGTTTACATTTTCTTATAGGTATATGGGTTGAACTTGTAAATTATAAAATAACTTTACTTTGTAGTTTCTAATTAATTAGACTTTAAAAATATCAGATGTTATTATTTGCTGTTAACTTTGGCATAATTTAACCAATAAATACCCATAATAATTATTTTATTCAAATGAGACGCATCAATAATGTTCACAGAAAGAAAGAAAGACAAGAAAGTTGCCTCCTGTGGGATTTGAACCCGCGCCCCTTAGTAGTTCTAGCCTATCTAAATATTCTTCAAAGTGAAGGTAATCCATTAGGTGGGTCATACTTTAAATGATATCTTAAACACAATTTCGCTTTCTTGTTTAACACTGATGGTATTGTGTTTGTAATCTGGGGGCCAGTGGTTTGATCTTCGGGCGAGGCAAATTTAAATGAAAGTTGCTCTCGACCTTTGAACCATATGGTCATTTGTCTCGCACAGCTGATTTAGGAATCATGTATGATAAGTAATCGCTTATTTGCGGAGACACTGTTAGTTATCCAGAACCGTTTTGTTAGACCAACCGATGTAATAACGATCGAAATGTATCAAAATCGGCGTAAAAATCAAACAAACACACTGTATTTCTACAAATTTTGTTCGACTTTTTATTTTTAAGACCCCATTCACAATAATATTGCAACATCTTCTGGAAACGCTGATGCCACAGAACAGCCAGAATACGCATGCGTCATTCCAAAGAAAGACAGAAGGAAGTTTCCTGTTATGAAGGAGACAAATGATGCAGAAAACAAAAATGTAATTATTGAAAGGCTTTAATATAATTTATTATTGATGATAAAGTAAAAATAAAAGATGTAAACGTGCTTTTTCTTTTTTCTTCCTAATGATGATTTAGGATTATTCCAGATATTTTATGATATTTTTTTAATTTAAAAATGAAAACAACAAAAAAACACTAAAAGACAGCAATATTATACATGCTAAACTGCTTATGTTTAAATGTAATAAATTTTCAATAGAAAGCACGACATAATTATAGAAGCAACGTATTTTACATCTGTATCAAAACCAGCAAAATTGTCTTCTTGTTTCTCGATATGCACATGTGATACTTTGCTTTTAACTTAAGAAGAACAAAATCTTATCAAAAGTCAGTCTCTGTATTTACAGAACGAAAGGGGAGACAATCTGGTGTATGCAGACCTAGATCTAGCCGAATATCCAGACCTGGCAGCTAAGAGACCACTTGTTACTATGTATGAACAGACAGAATATGTGTCGATAGATTTCAGTAAAACCGGCGCAGCAGCGATAGCCGACAGCTATGGAGACGAAAACTAAAGCGACGTGAACTATATAAGGGGCCATCAAATTGTTAGAGGATCAAAGGATAAAAAAGAACCAATTACGTTATAAAATAATTTGAGGTCATGGCCCTCTCTATACGGCAATTGAAAATAACAGTAGAAATGGCCAAACCTTCCTTTGAAGTAAAACATCTGGGCGAGACATTTTATTCGATAAGAAACCTTTTACTAACAAAAGAAATAGTATTATAGATAAGATACAACATGGAAAAGATGTCTGATTGTGAATTTATTCTTTTTTCAATTATCTTTTTTAAATTTTTATAATGTCTTTATTTATATGAAGGAAAGTAACTTTACAGCTAGTTATTGATAATAACTATAACATGTATAAGACGAAAGTAAAATAAAACATCCTAAAGAAAAATAAAAACTGTCAATATTTTAGCCAGTTAAAAACTTTTATCTAAATAATATACTAGTAAATTTTATACCCGCTTTGATAATTTATTCGATATGTAAACTTGCCTTTAATCTATTAAATTTATACTCGAATATAACGCATGCTTAATGTGAAAAGAATAAGTAGGATATTGAGAGCTGATTGGTCGATTAGCGCTGTGTTTAATTGCAGTTATTATAAAGCGAATATTTTAAATAGAAAAGCAGCTGTTGTACCGTAAACAAGGTCATTTGCCATTCATTCAAACATTCCTAGTGTGTATATATATAAATCATTCGTTATACTACATAATTAATTCTCCCTTTACCACTTACTGTTTCATTGTACAATGTAAATCACATGAGAAAG